GATAGATAGATAGATAGATAGATAGATAGATAGATAGATAGATAGATAGATAGATAGGGAGAGAGAGAGAGAGAGAGAGAGAGAGAGAGAGAGAGAGAGAGAGAGAGAGAGAGAGAGAGAGAGAGAGAGAGATCACGCGTCCCTGACCACCCGCGCAGCCACGATTTGACATCTTGTGTTGAGAGTTTTTAAGCGGTCGTTGATGTGAAGTCCTTTCCTGCAATGCTGACATTTGTTATTCCCTTCATGCTGGCTTGCGTTTGTTACGACATGTACCATTATCTCTTTGATGTACGATATGAGATGGAAGAGACAGTCCGCAACCAGCCTCGCCATTTGTCGCGAATTCGCTTTTGCAACGAACTTTTGAAATGTGTCCGTCGTCATAGGCAGCGCAACAGATTTTGCATCAGCACAGGGTGCTTTACTAGCGACGACACATGGGAAGTTGTGACGAACGTGGTGACAATTCAGTGTGGCAACATCGGTGCACGCCAGCAGGGCATGCGGCGCAGGCGCGCAATCCCCGAAAGTGGTCCCAATTCCTGTGGAGGTTTGCATTGTTGTGTCGATTTCTTCACCTGCCTTCGTCCTTTCACCTTTTGCACTTCCCATAACAACTTCGTTCGCACAAGTCACTGTCATTTCTCCATCCAACAACCTACCTCGTGTGTGTTGCAGGGCATCAATGACGTCCGAGCAACCGTTCAACAGAGACGTCATATAACAAGGAAGGTCATCCTTACCAATCGCGACACCCTCATCACAGAGACCGTACTCATCTACGGTTTCCTTACAGTGGCGAATACAGTCTGCTGCGAAGGCCAAGAGGTCGACGACACTACGTGACGAAGCAATTAGCGAACCCGTATTATATTCTTAGCTATCATACGATGCCCACCCCTCCTTCAACACACACTTCTCAGGGTTGCTACAGGATGCGACATCAAGTCCTTGTGATTCCTTGTGAGTTCTCTTTGTGACGTGGGTGGCGAACCGATTCAAGACCGCGGTGCGCCTGCGTCTTTCACCATCCAACCATGTCTGGAACTCGTCAAACGTGGTGGTCTTCGTTTCAGCTATTGCCTTCAGTGTGGCAGTCATGTCCTCCCTCAGACGACTTATGTCTAAACACTTTGGATCGTTTAGCAACAACCAGAAAACAGTGAACATCCTGTGTTCCGCAGTTTCTGTCATTTCCTCGAGCAGTGATTTAATATTGTCTAGTTCGTCTGACATCGAGCCCCTATCAAGGAGCTTGTAGAACGACTTAAGAAGTATGGATTTGTAAGACGCACTTACAAAGGTTATATCCTTCCTATGCTAATAAGAATTATGATCCCGATGGACCACGCAGATATACTTGCATTTTACAATGCAAAAACCCGTGGCATTTTCAACTACTACTCCTTTGCGGCTCCCCTGGCGGGCCTGAGTCGTATTATACATTTATTGTGGTCTTCATGTGTCTCACCAATTATTTCTGCTTATGTACCTCGTCTGTTAGCCAGTCTATATGTTCTCACTGCTTCTCTACTATCTGACTCCAGTTCCGGTCCATCTCAGTCGTCTTCTCTTCTTTGGCCCCCAGTAGTAGAAAGTGATCCGCCGTTGCATCACACTCTTCGCGTGACTTTCTCTACTGTTCGGTTTTGGTCAATCTTGACATTTGGAGATATATGTACATACAGAGAAATACAAAGAGAGAGAGAGAGAGAGAGAGAGAGAGAGAGAGAGAGAGAGAGAGAGAGAGAGAGAGAGAGAGAGAGAGAGA